TTGCCTGCCTCATTGCCCCTAACCACTTTGCTTGCCTGCCTCATTGCCCTTAACCACCTGCCTGCCTGATTGCTCCTAACCACTCTGCCTGCTTGCCTGATTGCCCCTAACTGCCTCTGCCTCAGCCCCCGCCTCTGCAGCTTCATCCTGAATGACATCTGGAAGATCGTTAGGCTGCCCGGTATAATTAGCATAATACATTTTTATTATTTGAGAGGCCAGGTGCAGCTGGAGGGTATTTGATGAGCTGCTCTGTACCAGACCAAGGTTTTGTTAAACTTATTAATGATTTTGGCCAAGAACATTTCATTGCTGGCTTGTTCATGAGGAGGCATACAATATCCAGTCTTTTCTCTTTCTTGGCACTACTGATCATTGCTATAGTCTTTTCCCTCTTAATTTCCAGGATATTTTTTACTGCGTTCTTTAGCCATAAGACTGCCAGTAACAAACAACAAAATGTGTTTTGTAGCACATTGCTACCAGGCAGTGTAGCTGTTAACATGATAAATATTCTTGGACGAGAGCCCAAGTTTTGTTCAGTTTTATGTGTTTATCCTCATACATTTACTTTGTATTGCTGTGTCTGGTTCCAAGTGTGAGCTCTGAGAAGTCACTCAGTCAGTCATTCACGGGCTCTTGTTGAGGGCTCCGCATGGCATCCACGAGGAAGTTAGACTCTCATGCAGGAGACACACACACAAAGAGTTAAAACACAGCATCGGGAGTTCTTTCCGGGGGAGTCGCGGGAGGTGGTTGTGTGATGTGGAGTTCATTTCTCCGGGATCTTGAGGACAGCCAGATGCTCTGCAGATGCAGAGGGAAGGAGAGCCACTTGGGACCGAGACTGAGACAGAGCCACATGCAGACACGTGGCCTCGGGGAGCCCTGAGCAGTCAGTGGGTGAAGTCAGGGACATGCAGTGCCCACGAGAGGCTGGTGCAGCTGGAGGGTATTTATGAGCTGCTCTGTGCCAGACCAAGGCCTGGACTTCATTGTGCAGGCACCGAGGAGGCGGCCTCGGCCACGCACTGCACCATGCCATCCGTGGTCTAGCATGTCTGCTGTGCGAACATGTGGGCCAGCGAGTGTGGCACAAAGCGGCCAGTGAAGTGCTGGCTGTTGGGAAGGGAAGGGGACGGACCTGGCAGTGATTGGGTTTGGTGAAGCGTCAGATGGGTATGGATGGTGCAGGAGATCAGGTGTAAGGAGAACAGTCAGGAGAGTCATTTCTGGACTTCATGAGTGCGTGAGGCCCCCCCACAGCAGTGAGGTTCAAAGTGTGGTGAAGACACGGGACTGGAAGGAGAGATTGAGAAGTCACCACCCTCTGGGGGCAGCGTGCAGTCCTGGGCTAAAGGCTGAGGACCCAGCTTTGGAGGCGCAGGCAGACAGGAGGCAGCGGCGGACGTTGACTGTGATTAGGTTGGGACACTTCTTGCTAACGGCGCCCAGAATAAGCAAAGATGAAGCGCAGGTGCGCGTCACCGGCCATGCCCTGGCAGGGGAGGCCTGCCGTGTTTCCCCAAAAATAAGACCTACTTACAGGTTTTCTTCTGAGTGAAATATAAGGCATCCCCCGAAATAAGCCCCCCCTCCCCCCCCGAGGCTAAACATGAGAGATTTGGTCTACTGATTCTGAAATTCAGGAGTCACAGGAAATTCAGGAATTGGATTGTTATGATGATGTTCCAGAAGATGATGACATGATTGTCATTGAATAAGTGAGTAAATTCTTGATACTGTAGGATTCAAAGTTTGTCTGGTTTGTGTTGACAACTACTGTACTACCGTACAGTATGCAGGTAATAAATTTCCTTTATTTTCATTTAACAATGAATGTGTACCGTATTCTTCTTCATGGAAAAATAAGACATCCCCTGAAAATAAGACCTAGCCTATCTTTGGGAGCAAAAATTAATATAAGACACCGTCTTATTTTCAGGGAACTGTACAGGGTAGGTATGGTGACCAGATCGTCCTGCTTTTGGCAGGACAGTCCTGATTTCTAACAATTTTTCCCGCGTCCCGCGGGAATCTTTCCAATCTTTCCAAAAATAGGGACTTTTTTAAAACACCGCGGGACGCGGGAAAAATTGTTCCAAAGTGGGACGATCTGGTCACCTTAGGAGGCGGGCGATGATGTGGCTCCAGAAGGAGCAGTCGGGGCTCTGGCCGCAGGCACTGCTGCCTGGGTAATGGCTCCGTGAAACGGATGCTGCCTGCTGTTTTCACTTCCCTGAAAAGGGAAAACTTCTGATTTTTTTCTGTTAGCAAAAGCAGGTGCCACTGTAGGTCTTTTCTAAAAGGGAAGTGGCATGAAGTGGACAGGAGAAATACCCAGTGTGATATTGGGTTAGAGGCACAGCTTTGTGTGCGGGGCAGGTGGCTGTCGTGTGTGTGAGTGTGTGTGTGTGTGTGTGTGTGTGTGTGTGTGTGTGTGTACACCAGCGCCCAGGCCAGTGTGCTCTGTGGCAGAGTGTGTGAGTGTGTGTGTGTGTGTGTGTGTGTGTGTGTGTGTGCGCGCGCTCGCGCGCCAGTGTGCTGTGTGTCAGCTTGTCAGAAGCAGGGCTGGCGATGCGTTAGCCCTGGGCGCTGTGCTGTAGACTGTGATCTGGCATGGCCCTCTTCTTGCTGGTAAATTAATTGTTCTCTTTCCTCTTCCGGAACTGAAAATAGTCCGGACCAGAAAGTGAAAGTGCTTGGAGGGGGAACCCCAGGTTTGTTAGGAGATGCAACTCCTTTCAGTCCCCGTGTGAGTCACGTGGAGACGATTGCCTTCCTTCAGAACCGGGCACCTTTTTGGATGTTCTCTCAGTGAAATTCATGCTTATGTTCAAACGTAAAGTTGAGGCGGAACAGGTTTCATTTTCAGCGATTCTCACTGCCCCCCCCCCTCCCCCGTCCCCGTACCTAATAATGGAAAGCATCTTGTGGTTGGGAGACTCCGGTGGAATCTACTTAGTTTGAACTTTTAAAGCCGTAACGTTCTCTGATAGCTCAGTCCGTTAAGTGTTGCTTATTTTACAGCGGACAGCTTCTAAATTGAAATGTGTATTCACTATAGTTGTAATGGTCTTTTTCAACTTTAAAAAATAAGCAGTTCATTCAGCTACAAAAGAAAACACAAAGAAATTTGGAAGGCTAATAACAAGCACGGCCACACGAGCCTGTTCTGTTTCTCACCGGAAGATGACTAGCATAGTGTCTGAAAGCCGGGAACGTGTGTGTGTGTGTATGTGTGTGTGTGTGTGTGTGTGTGTGTAGCAGACTCTGCTCATTTGTCTGCCCATTGTGCGGCTGTCCTGCACGTTGTGGGGTTTGTAACAGGGTGAGGCCTGAATGGAGGCCTTGTGCCTCTTGATTGGAAATCCTCCCCGCTAATCTATGGGCCCCGCGGGGCGCCCAGCTGGAAGCCGTGTGACAAGTGGAAATCTGGGATCGGGAGGAAACTTGGGGTTGGGGGGAGGGGCTGGAGAGGGGCGATAATCTCTCAGCCATGGCTTTGGTCCCCTCCAGCCCACTTGTTACCCTCTGCTGGCAGCTGGCGGAAGAGCTACCCAGTTAAGTACCCCTGGGTTGCATGTGCTCACCTGCCTTTTATAGGCCAACAACCTGGACGCCTTGGGTTTGATTCCCTTACAGAGTGCTGCTGACAGGGCGTTATGCGTTACTGGTGGAGGTTAGCCCTCTTGGTTAACCATGTGGATTTATTTAAAGGGGAGAAGGGCTGCTTGGGAAACGCTGCTGGGCCTGCCCTTCGCAGAGCCTGTCGAAGGCAGGCTGCCTCCGCACTTGGCTGGTTAGATCTCGTCTGTGCAGCGTGTGTGCTTTGTAGGATCAGCGATTGGCCCGAGGTTTCTTGGCTTCAGAAGCGTGTAATTGAAGTGCATTGCTGTGTGAGAAAGGGGTGGGGCGGCAAATGCTTTTTATAGGGTTTCACCTAACAAACCTTAATTTTTAAAATAAAGATTAATTTTTGAAGTATTATTTTGAGGATTTAACAGGAGAACCAGAACGTCCTATTTCTTTAATTCTGACACATTTACACTGACAGGGAAAGGGAGAGGACTTTTCCCTCCCTCTTCACGCAGAAACTGGTTCTCCAGCTTTGAGTGCCAGTTAGGACCTGTGTAATAAGTATTTCGCATTCCGTCCTGCTGTTGGCTCCGGAGCAGTGGCTCAGAGAGCAGGCACAGTTAAGCAGCGAGAGGCCTGGTGCTAGTGAGCTCGGTGTGGCGTGGCATTTGGCTTATATAATGTCACTCCAGCTCGCTGCTGAGGCCACGCTGCGTACATCCTGGAAAAGTGTTCCCCGGGATGTCAGGGAGGCCATGCTGATGATAAGTTTCTGGTACCTCAGCAGGTTTAGGGGCGTGTTTTGCCCACCACTACTGTTTTATTCTTTATTGTGGTTCTCTGGAGCCACGTGAACATAGGAATTGTAAGTGCTGTGTTTATTGGTTTTTGTAGAATCCCCAGGATACTGTGAGCTTAATAATTACGTTGTTTTGTGGGTTACTGAGAGGGCATATTAAAAGCTAGTTGATAATAAAGTTTTCATTAATTATTTTAACATGTTCAAGGTAATATTAAAGGCAGTTCAATCAAAATCAGAGTCAAACATTACCATCAAAATCTGAGTCACACACTAAAAGAGCTTTTGGTTTGCTTTGTTTTAGAAGGAAGTTGGTTATAGCTGCCCTCCTCCCACTTTTACTGACTGGTCATCTTCCTGCAAAACTCAAATACAGTCTCTGGTTCATGGGGCCTCATCATCACTTTAGTTCTTAATGATGTGTATATGTTTGTGCTCTGGACAGCTCACTGCCCTTTTTGTTTTTACTTTTGATATAAAGTATTAAGAAGTGATAGCTAACATTTTATGCCTGCTTACAGGTAACATGAGTTGACAGTCTCTGATAAACCTTTCTTCATTTTGGTAGAAGCTTGAAACACACTGCGATATTTATGAAGTGCTTCTCTTTGTGTCTGTTTAGGACATGTCTCAGGAAGGCTATGGAACTAGGTCTCAACCTCCTCTGGCTCCTGGGAAACCTAACCATGAAGACTTGAACCTGATTCAGCAAGAAAGGCCGTCAAGTTTACCAGTAAGACATTAATGTGCCGACTTGGAAATGTCAGGGGTTAAAATTTTTTTTAAAGCTGTTGTTTTTGTTCTACTTTATATGAAGGCTTAGAAGAGAAGTTTCTAGATTTCAGATATATCTGTGATTTCTTTTAGGGGCTTTATTCTTAGGAAATATGTAGGCCTAAGCATAAATCTGGAGGAGTCTGTTTCATTGTACGCGTCTCGGAGTCCAGCTGGCAGGTTTGGTTGCTGCGGGTTTGTGGCAGAAAGATTTCTGTGTGGTGTGGCTGCGCTTGGTACAGCCTGTTGCTCTCTGGTCACGGTACAGACGTGAGGGAGGTTTTATAGGAGCTCAATAGTAAGGAGTTCCCACTGGGCAAAGGGTATAACTGATGAGATAAAGCATCTGGTGGTGGTTTGAATTTCTTCAGGGACTTTCTATACTGAGATATCACCCAGTCTTTTTCACCCAAAGAAAGTATTTTAGTTTAAAATTGGGAAAAGCGGCATATAAGTATTTCCACCAGCAAATACTGTATGGTGGCTGACATACAGATCGACTAGAGTAGGGCTGTGTTATAGGGTATAATGCTGATGCTCATAAATAGTTCATCTGTGATTAATTTGCTTTTTTAATAAACAGCCTAATTTAAATGAGGTTTGCCTTATAAACTAAAATAATACATCTGTGCAAAATTTATATTTTCTTGTTAAAATGTTTTGGTTTGAAGAATTATTGTTATTGCTTAATCTCTATTAAGACATTTTATTTCAGGTGGGAGTTCAGGCTAACCACGATATTAAATATGTTTATATTAAGTACAATTTATTATATTGCTTCTGAACATTGAGAGCAGCATTGGTAATGGATGTAACACATGGCATTTGGCAGGCATGCCGTGCCCATTTTCCATGTGCACGTAGCCCGAGGGAAGAAGGTAAGTGATGGCCACAGGATGGCCAGGATCTCTAAATCTGGTGCACATGTTTTCGAAACCCTAATTTTACAGCTTTTATTTTTGTGGTGGGTGGCATTTATTGTGGCGTGTTTTTTTCACCCTGGAGTATTTATTGTATAGTTACTTGGTTTTGGAAGGAATGAGGAAGGTGATGGATTCTGTGTTTTATCCCATAAGCTTTTTTCTTTATCAGATAAACCACAGGTTTGGAGAGCATGTAGTGTGTGTGTGTGTGTGTGTGTGTGTTCGCGCGTGCATGCTCATGCGCACACACTGTTGATAAATGGAGCGTTTGCTGAGTATTTAGAAATTGGCTCCTGGTTTTAGGAATTTGTCTCCTGGGAAATAGATGGACATGAATTCACTTTCTTCCTCCCCCCAGTTTTTAAGTCTCAGAGAAGCTGACTTTGGAGGCTTGTCACTGGTTGGCGATACACACTGATATGCAGGTTAGAGACATGGTTGTGTATGGATACAGGTGTTCTGTTAGCTATCACAGTGGTTTCATGTTCTGCTTTCCTCACATCCGCCGGAACTGTGGCCTCACCCACGGGCTGTGCGTCTCCTCTGCCCTGATGGGAATGGCAGCTGACGTTCAGCTAGCTCCCCTCAGATTGGGGGCGGGGGATGAGGAGTGGGAGCCCCAGAGAACTGTGAGGAAGCCTGCTCTGGGCGGTGCTTTTTGAGGTGATTACTATTGGTAAAGCACCTAAAATATTTCAGGAAGTAAGTCAATACGTTAATCAGTAGTCTAAGTTTTTCTGAATTACTCTATTTGTATGCATATCATATAATAGCTGTTTTCTTTCTTAAGTGTTAAGTGTTGCCCTGGTTGGTATTTTCAGCCCTCCCCCCCCTCTTTGGTAACTCACAGATAAATAAGATGTTGCTTGACTCAATAACATTTCAGAGATCTTTTTTAGAGAGCAAAGTGTTCAGGTTTCATGGTGAGTTTATGGAAGTACCGTACGGTCACTGGATGAAGGACAGAATATATAGATTAGTCGGTGTACTAGCCCCTAGCCCCATCTGTGAAGATGAAAACTGGCTTTATTTAAATGAATTTTAGCACGCCACTATTTTTCCAACAGACTGTTTATGTAAAAAGTTTCTAAATGAAGTTTACAAATATGTTTTTATTTATGAGGCTACATTGATCTACACAATGAAGGTAATTACAGTTTGGGGGAAAGATTTGCTGGTATTCAGTATGGATCTAATATCACATATTTTTAGTGTTACATTTATTATTGAGTATTTTTGTTCTCCAACTTGGCTAAGTAGATACTTTTGGTGCAGTGGAATTATACTTGTTATCTATCTGAATTTCCTATGGAGTTTTTTGTAGATTTATGCTGTGTTTTTTCTTTTCAAATGTCGGTGATGTGTATTTTGTCTTTTTACTTAAGGTAAAAGGCAATCCATCATATTTGTAATCTCTAGCTTTTTGATTTGGAACTAAGAAAATTGTGGTCTTATCTGTATATTTTTAAACTGTGGCCCAGTGATTCTGATGTACAGTTAGTAAGTCTTACCATGACAGATGCGACTATAAGGAACCTTTTTGCTTATGTTGAGGTGGGTTTGTAACATTTTCCTGCTTTGTGATGTTTGCTTCAGCATGCGTTTGTTCCACAGTTAACTTCCCATTACAGAAGTCAGGACCTTTCCAGCATCCGTTTGCCAGATCTATAATTTGATGCCTCAGTGAGCTGTCCTCTCACCAGCGTTCAAATTGGTATTTGTCTGTATTTACACATCGTTAAATTCTTGGTGATCGTCAGTAGCTAATGCAGTGTTTCCCAGATGACTTAGGTCTTCAGATCATCCCCATAAAGCAAATGAGTGATAAATTAATACTTGTCCTCTTGTTGCCCTGGGGCCATGACCAGTAATATTTGCTTTTCACTTAATGCACTCAAACCTAATCTCAGAACAAATCTTCCTTAATAATGTCCACTTATTTCTTTACCTCTTAATCATACAGCTTTTTCTCTGTTGAGATACATTAGCTTACATACCTGTTGTATTACCATTATTGACAATCTTAGCATATAACATGTGATGTTGAATTAGTTTGAGCCTGGCCCAAGTGACTCAGTTGGTTGGGCATTGTCCAGTCACCAACCGATCAACTGTCTGCTCCCTTGTGGTCAGTGCACGTCATAGCCAGCAGTTGAGCAGCTTTAGCATATCATTAGCATATTATTCCTTGATTGGTTGAACAGTCGGCCAGTCACTGATGACTGGATACTTAGCATATTAGGCTTTTATTATATAAGATTCTTAAACAGTTTCAGCATTTTTTTTTTTTTATTGCTTATGGGATCTTTTCCCAGGGGAGGAACTGACAGCAGGCAAGTCTGTGTGTCTCTGTGTCACGGGCACACAGGCTCCTCAGAGTGTGTGACACTGTGTTGCAGGTGGTCTTATCCTTACAGACATTTTCTTTCATCATAAAATTGCAGCTGAGTTTTACCTTGGACTTCAAGCTTTAAGAGAGGTGGGCACTTTTGGATAATGACACTAAAAGGAGTTTAATATCTCCTTAGTGATATATGTTTTTTAATTAAAAAGAAATGGACAGAGCAGTAATTATAATTTCAGTAAATATAGTACAGATAGATATGTTGTTAATAAAATATTTATAAAGGTGCACAAAGAAGTAAACAAACCAAAAAGCTCTGATTTTTCTTCCTTGTCTAAGCAGATAGGCCTTCTCCTCCAGGGACCTGAGTTGTTAAATATTCCTCAGTTGAAAAATAACTATTTGTTTCATTCTTCAGAAGAGGCCTGTACCAGTTGCATTCAGATGGCCCATTATTCTGTTTACGAAGACACCAATAGGATCAGTCATGTCCTCACAGCCTTTGAAAGGCCCACCAGGTCATTAAAAAGCTCTTTGTGATCCTTTCTTCCTTAAATAGGAAATAGTTAAAGAGGTCGGCATGAAAAGGATTTGCTCTTTCCCAGTTTAGTTAAAAAACCCTAAGTGTCCTGTGGAATTGTGCTTATGGCTGTTTTGTTGAGTTTGCAATTAGGCAGAGATAAAAACGTATGTTTTTGCCCCTCTGTGAAAGGAAGGAGGTAGTAAATGCTGGTTGTTCTTTGAAATAGAGGATGTTAAACAGGATATTGGAAGCCTAAAAGAGAATGATTGGAAAATGTTATTAGAAGCATATTCTTTAGGGAGTAGGTATTAGCAACAAAGCATCAAGGATCTGCCTTAATGGAAAAAGAACACTATGTATGTTTGTTTTTTTAGTCTTTGATGACATTTATGTTGAGTAGGGGTGAAAGGTTGTGTACCATGTAGGATATTGATGATACGTTAATAGGGACAGTTTAAGCATATAGATTTGACAGTACAGTTCCTGTGAACAGTTGAAAATTACTGGGAAAAGCTAGGTGAAATGTTTTTTTAATTGGCTTTTGCTTTTACTGTGTTATCAGTTCAACTAGAAATACGAATGGTGATGATGATTTTAATCTGTTAGTTGGTAGAGTCCTTCAAAAGTTAAAACCTCCCAGGTAAGAGTTAGATACATGGCTGCAGAATGAACTCTTTCCAGACTTCTAAAGATCTGTACGCTTAACCTCACTCAGAGGTTAAGAACGTATCCACCTTTGTTGATTAGTTCTTCTCCTATCAGTCTGAACATTTAAAAAATTATAAGCTAATAAAAGAGAAATCTAATCTGTTTGTCACCTTATCTCAGTGTTCAAGCATTGATAATGTCCGTGTGCAGCTGAGACGGGAGCTATCGTTACCCTAGAAACTTTTTCACATAAATTCTGAAGATTTGCAGAAATGAATTTCAACCCATTTTGTAGAACTGTCAGTTCCAAAAACAATTAATGAAGGAGTTCTATAAAAATAGGCAGTGGGCAGAACTGACAGTCAGAGAGGCTGGACCCTAACTGATCTGCAGGACACTGGTTTTGACAATAGAGGGACAATGGCCTGTCGGTTGATGAATGGGCTCCTGCAGTGGGATGATGTGCTCACACTCCTGGCTGAGAGAAAAGTAGGAGTTTCCATACCCAGTGAGGACAGCAG